AAGAAAGAAAGAAAGAAAGAAAGAAAGAAAGAAAGAAAGAAAGAAAGAAAGAAAGAAAGAAAGAAAGAAAGAAAGGGGAAGGAGGGAGGGAGGAAGGGACGGTGGGACGGAGGGAAGGGGAAGGAAGGAAAGAAGAAAGGAAAGAAGAAAGGAAGGAAGGGAAAGAAAGATGGAAGGAAGGAAGGGGAGGGAAGGATGGAAGGAAGGAAAGGAGGGAGGGAGAAAGGAAAGGAAGGAGTGGGGAAGGCAAGAAAGAAAGGGAAGAAAGGAAAGGAAGGAAAGAGAAAGAAAGAGAAAAGGAAGGAAAGAAAGGGAGGAAGGGAGAAAAAGAGGGAGCAAGGAAAGGAAGGAGAGGGGAAGGAAGGGAAAGAGAGAGAGAGAGAGAGAGAGAAGGGAGGAAGGGAAAGAGGAACGGAAACAAGAGAGAAAGAGTCACTTTGGGAATGCCTTTTTAAAATCTAGGCTACTGGCAAGCAGTGCAATATGCTGGTAGCAGGGTTGACTTACAAGAAAGGACACTCAAGGCTCAACTCAACTAGGTTGGGTGACTTGGCTGTGGTCAACTCTCTCTCTCTCTCTCTGCCCAGCCTACCCCACAGGGCTGTTGTTTTAGGGCAGGAATCAGGGAAGGCCCCTGAACGTGGGAGATAAACCGCCCGTCCATTTTCATCAGTATCCTCGGCTCCTTACCTATTCGCTTATTTAATTCTACCAGAGACTCGTACCATTCGTTGATTTCGGCCTGGCTATGCTTCAAAGGCAACAAAGAGCTATGAATTAAAAAAAAAAGGAAGAGAAAACACATGAATGAAGGCGGAAATGCAAAAGGTTTGGGTGGAAGGGTAAGAGAAAACTCTTGAGGAAAATTGGTAGAATTGGCGGGGGGGGGGGGGAGGATTTCTGGCAAAAGGGCCACCAAAACATTTCATGTTTAAAACAGAAATATACAGAGAGTCTATTTACTTCCAGCCATTCATACATTCAAAGTCACAACAGCACTGAAAAAAAGTGACGTAACCCCCGTTAAGGTCACCATTAAGTTAAGGTCCCCGTTAAGGTCACGTGATCGAAATTCGGATGCTTGGCAACTGTCCTCGCATTTATGACGGCTGGAGTCACACGAACCCCTTCTTCCGTCGCGAGGTCTCCTCCAAATAATAACTGTGCTACTAACTTAACAATTTACGGCGATCCGTTTAACAACTGTGGCAAAGCTCCCCACAATAACTGCCTCGCTTAGCTAGGCAGATATTTCGGGGCTGGAATTTGGGGTCGTTAAGTCAAAGACTTCCTGTATAGTAGCAGCCAGCGCTACCATCCCAAAAGATATTTTGGGATGGTAGCGCTGGCTGCTAGTATACAGGAAGTCTTCGATTGATAGCGGTTCCTTTAGTGATGGTTCAAGGTCAGAAATGGCAAAATTCACTGAGCAAGCGTTTCACTTAGCAACAGAAATGTTGGGCTCAATTGGGGCCCTAAGTTGAGGACTCCTCTAATTGGAACAGTTCCTTCCAAACTTCCTTGGCCAGGTTTGAACCCACACCAGAAAAGAAGCTGCATTCATATATCTCTATCTATCTATCTATCTATCTATCTATCTATCTATCTATCTATCTATCTATCTATCTATCTATCTATTATATTTAGATGTTATATTTTTGTATGTTTGCCTACCCCAGGGAAAATAAATGTTCGTTTCTTTTTTGGGCCAGCGATCGCTGATCTTCTAGCATGCTCTCCAATTCCATTTTCACAGCACTTGGGTTCTGTATTCGTTCACTTTCCATAAACTCTCTGTGAGATTAGAAGTAAACATCAGGCGAGAGATAAAATATGGTTTTCTTTTTTAAAAGAAAAAGAAAAAAAAGGAAAGGTTTTCAGGAGGCCCCAAAGGAGGATGCTAACTGTAGTTTTATCTGATAGGTCAACGTTTTTAAAAGTATGTTCTGCAGAATCAGGAAGAGGAGGATCCTTGGTGCTCCCTGAGCTGGGTGGTTTTCTTGCAGACGTTTCATGACCCAGCTAGGTCACACCATCAGTGTGCTAGAAGGGACTGGGGTGTGCAGGGAGACGGAGGACGGGGAGAAGGAGAAGGAGGAGGTTTATTCAAATGGGGCCGGGGTGGGGGGAAAAGGGGGAGGGAAAAGGGGGGGGGGGGGGGGGGGCAGAGGAGGAGGTCCTAATCCCTCTCTCCTGGACTACAGCTTTGCCACCTGCCATTTCTGGGGTTCACAAGCAAGGATGTCTCTTAAGAGAACAGCGCCCCCCCCCCCCCCCCCCCCTTGGCCCCCCCCCCCCCTCACCGGAAACTGGAAATGATATGTTTCTTCTGCACGGCTTTCCAGACCTCCTTCCTCTCTTCCAGCTGTTGGCGATAGAAGGAATCCCTGTTGAGGTTGGCCTCCATCAGGTTAAGGAACAACTTGGAGGTCGCCCTCCGATTGGCCAGGAGAGCTTGGTTGATCATCTGGGAGCAGACAGGAGAGAGCCAGTGAGGTGTGGAGGCCGTCCTTGACTTACAACCGTTCGCTTAGGGGGCCGTTTGAAGTTACAACGGCACTGGAAAAAAGGGGACTTCGTTTTTCACAGTGACGGTCGCGGCGTCCATGGTCCCCTTTTTACGACCTTCAGACATGGCAAGTCGACAGGGAAGCCAGATTCACTTAACAACTGGGGCAAGGAAGGTCGTAGAATGGGGCTTAGAAAACCACTTAGCTGCTGCCTTGCTTAGCCACGGAGATTTGGGGCTCCATTATGCTCCTAAGGAGAGGAATACATACATGTTTTGGGTTGTGAAAGGGGATCACCTCACACACACACGGACACCGCAAACCGTCATAAATACAAGCGTCCGAATTCAGCCACGTGACCAGGGTGGGCTACAGTGGTCGTAATTTGGAAAGCTTTTGTCGTACGTCACTTTTTAGTGCCATTGTAACTTGGAGTGGTCAGTGGTCAGTAAACGAACGGTTGTAAGCCAAGGATTACCTTGTATAATGTTTCAATTGATTCTTACTGCAGACCCCCAGATCTTAGAATAGAATAGAAGAGAAATAGAGAGGGGAGAAGAGAAGATAAAATATGGAATGGAATGGAATAGAATAGAGGAATAGAATGGAATTAGAGAGAAGAAAAATAGAGAGGGAAGGGAAGGGAAGGGAAGGGAAGGGAAGGGAAGAGAAGAGAAGAGAAGAGAAGAGAAGAGAAGAGAAGAGAAGAGAAGAGATGGAATGGAATAGAATAGAATAGAATAGAATAGAATAGGACAAGGTAGGATAGGAGAGAATAGGAGAGAACAGAACAGAACAGGACAGGACAGAACAGAACAGAACAGAACAGAATAGGAGAGAACAGGAAAGAACAGAATAACAAGAGTTGGAAGGATTTTTACCATGGCTTCCTTGTGCATGAATCTGTGGACATCCGAGGTTAGGAGATAGGCGATGTCCTCTAGCATCTTGGTGTATTTGCTCAATACCACTGTGATCTGGAAATGCAAGCGATGGAGAAGAAGGTCAGGGGACAGAAGAGTTGGGAGGGACCTCAAACCCCCTCCTTAAGGAAACCTTATGGTATGCAGTTTCTAACCCATTTTCCCCCACCCTGGTATTTTATTTTATTTTTGGTTAAAAGGCAGGGCAGACGTGCAAAGTCGAAACGCTCATCCCTCTGATTCATGGCTGTAAGAAACTTGTCCTGGTTGGTGACCCCAAACAGCTGCCTCCCACCATCAAGTCCCTGGTACGTAGCTGCCCCACAAAGACGCCTCCAGATGTGCAAGAAAGCCAAATGTTTGCCTCCAGAAGTTGCCAACGCTCCAACCCTGGAAGTTTTTTAAGAAGGGGTTGGACAACCCTTGGTCTGAAAGGCTACAGGGTTTCCTGCCTAAACAGGGGGTTGGACTAGAAGACCTCCAAGGTCCTTTCCAACTCTTCTATTCTATTCTATTCTATTCTATTCTATTCTATTCTATTCTATT